GTGACAGCCTTCCTGTGGGTGTGTGTGAAGTCCGTTCCGTCTTTTAGTTTCACTTTTGAAATGGTTGTTCGAGGCAGCAAACTCCGGCGTTAACCTATGCCGCCATCTTGGTTCTCTATATTCCCTTCAAAAATTTTTAGGTGAAAATTAGGAATCTTTAAGGAACATTATATCTTTTTCTGAATGGTAGTTAAATCATACAGCCATCAGAACTTAGAGAGTGATGATGTAATCTTTTTAAAATACAAATAAAGTCAAATAAATTATACAACTTATTCCCATTTTATTAAAAATAATCACTCTTTAAGGCTTTAAACGAGTTTATCATAGGAGTGATTTTTTTTCTATTAAAGAACAATGCTACCAAAAAAAGCTGAGAGTCACATGAAGTTAATAAAAGTGACAAATAAGTTTGAATGTTTTACTTGAAAAGGAATATAATATGTTCAGTAATATGATTTTAAATTGAGATAGGACAATGATATTGGAAAAGATTGATTTAAATGATACAAATAACCACAGACTGGAAAGAAAGCAGGTTAGATATACTGAAGGAAAGGAGGGGGTAAACTGGGACAGGAAAAGGATAATTTTTCTTTCTTTTTTTTAATATATATTTTTATTGATTTCAGAGTGGAAGGGAGAGGGAGAGGGAGATAGAAACATCAATGATGAGAGAGAATCATTGATTGGCTGCTTCCTGCACGCCTCACACTGGGAATTCAGCCTGCAACCCAATCGTCATGCCGGCTGGGCCAGTTTTCTTTCTTTACTAGTTAATCTATTTGGGCAAATAATTCTGTCCCTGTCGACCATCTTTTATCCTTGTATAACTGGCATCTTATATAATAAAAGCCTAATATGCTAAGTGTCCAGTCATCCAGTCGACTGTTCAGTCAATCAAAGCGTAATATGCTAATGATATGCTAAGGCTGCTCAACCGCTCACTATGATGTGCACTGACCACCAGAGGGCAGACACTCCAACTGGTAGGTTAGCTTGCTGCTGGGGTCTGGCCGATCAGCCTGGCCTGCGCCCTCTCGCAATCCGGAATCCCTCAGGGGATGTCGGAGAGCCAGTTTTGGTCTGATCCCACAGGCCAGGCCGAGGGACCCCACTGGTGCACAGATTCCTGCATCGGGCCTTTAGTATAGGAATAAGATTGTCTCTAGGCTTCTGTCATACTGACAAATTTTATTTTTCTTTATAAATATTTCTTAATGCCAACAAAATGATTAAATCAAATATGGATTCTTTTTCCACCAAAATTTTTACCTTAATTTTTGGCTACATAATGACTGACTTGGAGAAAAACTGTTTTCTTTAATGCCTTGGGTCCTTGAGGCGGCTGCTGCTGGACACCAGTAGGAACTTGGAGACTATTGCCCTAACTGCAGCATAAATGATGCCTGACCTGCTCTATGTCAGGGAACTTGCCACAGTCCATATAAACTACTTGTGATTTTTGGATTTAGAATAGAACCTTTTTAGTTCTAATTTAAGCAAGCTAAACTATCTTTTTAAAAGATTTTCTTTTTTATTGATTTCAGAGAGGAAGGGAGAGGAAGAGAGAGATAGAAACGCCCCCTCCTGGGCATTAGCCCACAACCCAGGCATGTGCCCTGACTAGAAATCTAACCTTGACCTCCTAGTTTATGGGTTGATGCTCAACCACTGAGCCACACTGGCCAGGCTACCTAAACTACAGTATTTATTAATGTAGGAATTCAGGGGACAACTTGTTTTACTTGTTTTGTTGTGATAGTAGTCTTAGACAATTACTGGTTAATGATGCATTAGGTAATACCAGTTTTCTGAAATACTAATTCTCTTTTAATTAGTAACCACAAAGGGTTTTCCAAATCCCTTCAAATAGGTAAATTCAAGGTTTAAATGTAAAACTAGGATCATAGCTGGTCTTTTAAAGCATAGCATTTGAGTGATAAATGTGTAGCTTCGGGGGAATAAATCATCAGTTATGATTCCAGGTGTCAAAGAAGTCACCTTTAAAATACCTTACAAGCTTACATATGCTTTACAAATTAATACTTACACCCTTTAACCATTTGTACGCCATAAGCATCTATAGACACAAGCGGCAGACCTTTTTTTAATTAAATTCAAAATATTGTGGCAATTATCTGGTCAAAATAGTTTAAAAACCGCATATACATGTAAAAATGTATAGTACTTTAAAGTAAGTTGACTACTTTATGATCTTGCCATTTGAAATGGAAACTGCTATGGGAAAAAAGGATGATAATTAAATTAATAAGCAAATGAATAAAGTAGGAAGAAAATTAACCTTTTTATGTGAAGTTATTGTAAATATGTATAGGAAGGAGAATTTTTAAGTTTAAACATAGCAGTAGCAAAAGAACCATGATATAAAATTCAGTATTTATTGTAGAAAAATAACTTTGAGGTTTTTCTTTTTCCAGATATAATTTTTTTATCATCTTATATCCTGTTGGAGTTGCTGGTGAACTTCTCACTATATATGCTGCCTTACCATATGTGAAGAAAACTGGAATGTTTTCAATAAGACTTCCTAATAAATACAATATCTCTTTTGACTACTATTATTTTCTTCTTATAACCATGGCATCGTATATACCATGTAAGTATGTATTTATTAGTACTTTGATTTAGCATATGCTATGAAAGTTTTTGGAAAGATATCATAATTGCTAGCTTAATAAGCAACAAGAAGTAACAGCTTACAAATACATTAAAACTTCTATTCATGGAAATGCTCCAAAACTTGATTGTAGTGATGGTTGCACAGCTGTATAAATTTACTAAACTAAAACTGTACACTTAAAATGGGTGAATTTTATGATATGAAAATGACATTTCAATAAATGTGTATATATAAAAAAACCCTCTATTCAATCCCACATATATTCATTAATATGAAATAATTGAAGAGCTAGTGAGTTAGAAAAGGCTTTTTCCAAGTTATGAGAAGAAAGGTAAGTAAATTAATCTACAAATGATTACCTTCTCAAAATTACTTTAAAATAAGCTAAGTATGATTTATTTTTTTAAAGAAAAGATAAAGCATAGGTCAGTGAACTATTTGTAAGCATTTAGAGTTACGTATCTGAATAGAAACATTTTATCCTAGAAAATGTCAGGTCATTTTTATCTATTCATTAAGCATACTAGAGGCCCTGTGTACAACATTCGTGCACTTGGGGGCGGGGGGGAGTCCTTCAGCCCACCTGGGCCCTCGCAGTCCGGGACCCCTTGGGGGATATTCGCCTAGGGGTCCTTGGTGCTGCCGCAGAGGCGGGAGCAGCTCCCACCACCACCACTGCACTTGCCAGCTGTGAGCCCGGCTGCTGGCTGAGTGGCGCTCCGCGGTGGGAGTGCACTGACCACCAGAGGGCAGCTCCTGCATTGAGCATCTGCCGCCTGGTGGTCAGTGCACGTCATAGAGACCAGTCGTTTTGCTGTAACAGTCACTGGGCTTTTATATATATAGATACTTGGAGAAATCATCTAGGAGTACTTTTTAGTCTTATATGTGTTGCTCTATGCTCTGGAAAATAAAGAAGCTACTTTTCTTAAAATATTTTGAGTAACTCAGCCTCTTCTAATTTCTCATCATCTTTCAATAGTTGCAATGAATTAGTGAGGCTTTACTTGCTTCATTTAAGTACTAATGATATATGTTTAGGTCAAATTTTGATAGTTATTAGCAGGAAATAATGTAAAGCAAGGTGGTTAGTTACCCTTCTGAATAAAATTAGAGATCGGTGTCAGTGAGGGGAAAGGGAAATAAGAAGAGTTTATAGAATCTAAAGTCTACATGGATGCAGTATAAAATACGTCATCTAAAGGGGATGAACATACAAACTGACCAGCATCTGGAGGCCTCCAATTTTAAAAAAAATATTTTTATTGATTTCAGAGAGGAAGGGAGAGGGAGAGAGGGATAGAAACATCATCAATAAGAGGATCATTGATCGGGTGCCTCCTGCACGTTCCCTACTGGGGATCGAGCCCACAACCCGGGCATGTGACTGGGAATTGAACCACGACCTCCTGGTTTATAGGTTGACCCTCAACCACTGAGTCACACCAGCCCAGCCAATTTTTAAGCTTTTCAAAAATCAAAAGGGACTTTTGTCAGTTAGTGTTTTTATTCCCCTCACTTGTACCATTTCAGCCTGACTCTCGTTAGATTTTCACCAGCGCTAGTTCAGCAGAGCTAAGGAGTGGCACACCTGTAACAATTGTTTGTATCCCCTGCTTTTCCCGACACCCAGTGAATGGCAGCACACCTTGAGCAGACCAGACCTTGCTTCAGTGTCTGTCATATCATAGTTGCAGTTTCAGGGGTTGGGCTCTCATTCTGTTGGACCACTGAGACATCTGCAAGAAGACCCGGGGCCCAACAGATCACGGTTGAAACCAGCAAACTAATAACCTTAGACCAGTGGTCGGCAAACTCATTAGTCAACAGAGCCAAATATCAACAGTACGACGATTGAAATTTCTTTTGAGAGCCAAATTTTTTGAACTTAAACTATATAGGTAGGTACATTGTTATTAACTTAATTAGGGTACTCCTAAGGCTTAGGAAGAGCCACACTCAAGGGGCCAAAGAGCCGCATGTGGCTCGCGAGCCGCAGTTTGCCGGCCACGTCCTTAGACCATGTGTTTTCAGGTGTCCTGGGACGCGTAGACCCCATCCTATGCCAGTAGCAGCTTCTCAGTTTATTATGCTGACATTTACCGGAGAGACCCACTTGCTGGGAGATCAGTCAGCCAGGGCAGTGGTCGGCAAACTGCGGCTCGCGAGCCACATGCGGCTCTTTGGCCCCTTGAGTGTGGTCACGAAGTTTCAATCGCACTGTATGTGCACGTGGTATTTTGTGGAAGAGCCACACTTAAGGGGCCCCAGTTTGCCGACCACTGAGCCAGGGGGATGTTCTCCACTTGATTATTATTAGTAATGATAACTAATGTTGCTTTGCTTACTAAATTCCTTGCTAATTAAAATATTAAGAGTACTTTTTGAGTACTTATTTTAATTTTCAAACTAAGTATTGTTAGTTCTCATTTATCATGAGGACTTTATAGATTAGAGAGGTTAAGTGGATGGATTAAAAGTCACCCAGCTGGTAAATAAAGTCAGGATTTGAACTCAAGCCTACACTTAAACTCAGAATGTTAGAGAAGCATTTGCAATCACTGGTCAGTTAGCTTTAAGTATATATGACCTGAATATATTTAGACCTCTAGGTATAGTATGATGGTTACATATATTAAGATTAGTAGTACCTACATATTAAAAAGTACAATCTGTTGTGCATTTTTGCTCCATTTGAGCCGGTCTAAAGATAAAACTTATCTGAAGTTGCTGAAGCTAGATATTCAAAGCTTGTTTTGTCATTAAAGTCATTGGTTTGATTATTCTGTGTTCCATTTTCAGGGATGTTTTTACATTTGTATTGTTGCTAGTTAATATGAATTTGTTCATCTATTAATGCTTACACTGTAATCTAAATCATTGATTCACATTGACTCAGAATAATTTTCCAAATTTAATAGGGCAGATGACAGTTTGTCTAACTGATTTAATACATGCATATGTATATGATTATATAAAACAGACTACCCTGATACCCATCCAAGAGGGGCCTCTGCTCTGGGCCCTGTTCTGGCTGTCCACTGATCACCTCTCCACCCCTCGCCTTCTAGATCACACTTTGGAAACCCAGAACCATGGAATTTGCTGCCCACATGGCACTGAGTGTACATCTAAGCACTGCATAGGCCCCTTCCCCAATCTGTTCTCCAGAGGGTTAACCATGCCGGCAGTGTACACGGCCCTGAAATCCAGGGGTAGCTAGGGGCAGCTGTTTGTGAGGGGTATGGATGGGGGTATGAGTTGTGCGGGCTTGCATATCCACACATATATTCACAGTACCCCTCGTGATATAGGACAGCCAATGGAATGGAGAGCAGGGGGCCAGGTGGGCAGCTCTTCTGTGCTGGAATGTTCTGGCACAATATTCCAAATTATTACTAAATTCAAACATGGCCTTCCAGGTCATCATGAAAGTATATTTTTCAAGGTAGTATTAAAATTTGCTACGAGACCTCACAGCTTACGGCATTAAAGTATTTAGGCAGATGGTCTGTGGCCTCCATTTGTACTCTCATCCAGAGCTCTGTAAATACTAAGGGGTAGCAGGTGGCATTTGATGTGCTTGCTTTCAAACTTTGCCACTTTTAAGAGGTTTCAAGTTTCAGTAATTTCCAACAATAGCTTATCTTTCTTTGTTTTCTTTTTTCAATGAAGTGTTTCCACAACTCTATTTTCACATGTTACGTCAAAGAAGAAAGGTGCTTCATGGAGAGGTGATTGTAGAAAAGGATGACTAAATGACCTCTACAAACAAGGTGCTTTTTCCAGAATAACCAGGATTACTTGAGTCCAAGTTTTAATAACAAGAATAAACAACTTCATGAAATACTACAGATTGTATTATTTCTTCAAATATAACGAGATACGTGGTGTTTGCCAATATTTGTCTTCACACTGTGCCAGTTCCATTTTCTACAAGAACTATGCAAGTATTTATCAACTCCTGGGTAGGCGATCATCATTAAGAAAATGGTGTATTACTTGCAAAAAACCCTTTTGTTAGTTTTTTTTAGTTTCACTAAATTGTTATGCTCAAAGCTTTAAAAACCAATATTTAGTAATTAGTTTTGTGATTTAACATTATATTCCTGCCAGTAATAATTTATGTGATATTTATAAATGAAAGTAAATACAGAGTTATAATAGCTTATTAATAATGTATTGGTGTTTCTTGAAACCAAAAGCTATTTTTTCAAGTTATAAGGGAGCATTTTGACTAATAGCAGTTTTTGGAAGCATGGATATACTTTACTGTCATGAGACTTTTGATATAGATGTCACAATTGGAAAATATTATTTGAAAATATGGCTACGCCATTGAAATTACACTACTAAGCAAATTTATTTTTATTTGAAATAGACATTCAAAGATAACCCTTTCAACTCTAAAGATTTTAAAGGATTAGAAACAACATAAGTATATACTTTTCCTCCCTTATTAAAAAAATAAAGACATTAGGTCTGATCATAATATTATACTCGGAACTCTGGCAGGGAAAGGCTGCTCTATTCCATGGAATCGTCTAATAAAAATCATGTTATAATAACATTTTTGAGGTATTGAGGTTAAGAAGTTTTGGGCTATGGCCTGAAACAGACTCATTTTATCTGAATTGCACTGGAAAGCAAGTCTTACAGTAAAGCTCTCTGTGTGTTTAATAGAATGATACACTGAAAGATACACTTTTATACTGTTTTAATTCTAAAGTAGGTCCTTTAAAAATTTTCCTTCTTCTGTTAAGATATGCTGCTTAGTCAAGTAAACTAACCCAGTTTAGAGACAACACTGAATATGTGACTTAAAAAGAGAAGGAACTTTTGCCTACCATAATATGTAGGCATACTTTTGGCTTGAAATGTTCTGTTATTGCTTGTGTTTACATCAACATGTAACATTACACTTCAACATTTTGTTACCACGTCCTTTTCAAATGATTTCACGTGATTTGTAGTTCAGAATAGTTTTGCAAACTCTCATTTTAGATAACTTGAATTTTATAAGGTGCTATTTCTTTTATTACATTATATTGTAATATTTCCTGTGCAGCTGAATGTTTTAATGAGCAATTATGTATTAGGTTACTAATTCTCAAAATGCTGATGTACATTCTCTGCTTACATGGCTTGATCAGTTTTCATTTTGAATTTTTATATGGAAGAGATTTTCAGGGAGATTTTATCTTTGGTAATAGAGTATAAAACGCTCACATATTTATCTTGTTAGATTCCTGTCTTATGAAAAATACTTCAAATCCTTTTCCTGAAATTTGTATTACTTCAACTCATGCTTCCTTTGAGCAACTGTACTACTTTTTTTTACCCCCTGCCCCCCTGAAGTTGTGGAATATCTTGAAGTAGAAATTGTGATTAATTAGAAAGGAAAATGCCCCTCGTGCACTGCTGGTGGGAATGCAGATTGGTGGAAAACACTATGGAGTTACCTGAAAAATTAAAAATGGAACTGCCTTATGACCCAGCAGTTCCACTTCTGGAAATATATCTGAAGAAACCCAAAAACACTAATTCGAAAGACTTTATGCATCCCTATGTTCATTGCAGTATTATTTACAATAGCCAAGATTTGGAAGAAGCTAAGTGCCCATCAGTAGATGAGTGGATAAAAAAGCTGTGGTATATTTACACAATGGAATACTACTTGGCCGTGAAAAAAGAAGGAAATCTTACCTTTTGTGACAGCATGGATGGACCTAGAGAGTAATAAACGAAATAAGCCAGTCAGAGAACGACAAGTGCCATATGATTTCACTTATATATGGAACCTAACAAATAAAATAAACTAACAATCAGAAACAGACTCATAGGTACAGAGAACAGACTAACAGCTATCAGAGGGGTAGGGGTTGGGAGGCTGGGTGAAAAAGGTGAAAGTATTAAGCAAAAAAAACCCCAAACATGCGCGCACACACACACATACACACACACACATAGACACACATACACACACCCCAGTATGGTGATTACCAGAGGGAAAAGGGGTGGAGGGAGGTAGAAGAGAGTGAAGGGGGGATAAATGGTAATGGAAGGAGACTTGACTTGGGGTGGTGAGCACACAATTCAATATACAGATAATGTATATAGAGTTTTACACCTGAATAAATGCCACCCTTATAAATAAAATAAAATTAAAAACTAAAAGTACAAACTTATAGAGCTCAGGACATATCTTACACTAAATCTGTATGCCCACACTGCAGTATGTGTAAAAGGTATTCGATAAATTCATATGGAATGATAAAAATGCATCAAACTCTTCAGTGACCTATGGTAATATACTCAAAGTATGCATAAATACTAGTGTGCATAACTTCAGTTTATCTTCAGTATCTCCTATTTCAACTAATTCTAAACCATTCTGTGTAGAAAATAAAGTGCTTAAATGGTACTTTGATTTAAAGAAGAGAAAGTATTTGAAAGCCCTTTGCACATGTTTCCTGTGGACTGTACCTTTTTTTTGGATTGCTTCTGAAGTCACCGTAAGTGTTGAGTCAGGGCTTGAATCAAGTAGAACCTGAATTCGGTCCTGTAGACATGTATCAACAAATTTTTAATACTAGCAACTTTCTATTAGCTTGGTGACATTCCTTCAAATTCTGGTTTTAAAATGTTAATAACTTTATAGCTTGATGTATTATATAATATATACAATGTCTTACTTTTCATGGTCTTAATTTGATATTAATACAGCAACATCTCTGCTAGGTTATAGCTTCATAAAAACAGCATGTCAAAATAAATATTTAAAACTTCATTTTCACCAAAAGCTTTTGTGACTTGATTTCTGGAAACATTATTTTTGCATCTTTAGATTCGTAAGCATCTAATTATCATTCAACTCTTATTGTTTCTAATGATATATTGCAAATGATATGAAATTATGTAATAATACTTTTTCCCCCTGCCACAAATATTTATTTTGTGCCCACTGTGTGTCAAATACTGTTGTAGGGAATTACCATCTTCCTCCTGTTATACCTTTCTCTGCTCAAGTCTTTGACATATTTACCAGGTTAAATTGGTTAGGAAATCACATTGCAAAATAATTATCTATGCTTTAACAAAATATAGTGCATTGGTAATCTGATGGTTGCAGAGTTCTTTGTTATTTATATAGGTATAAGTGTGTCAGAGCACCACTAAATAGGTAACATTCTGGTTTAAAACTACGTTCAAACAAACTAAAAACAATCATTGAATATAATCGATAAAATAGCCCGGCCAGATTGGCTCAGTGGTTGAGCATCGGCTATGAACCAGGAGTTCACAGTTCAATTCCTGGTCAGGGCACATGGCTGGGTTGCAGGCTGGATCCCCAGTGTGGGGGCATACAGGAGGCAGCCAATCAATGATTCTCTCTCATCATTGATGTCTCTATCTCCCTTCCTCTCTGAAATCAATAAAAAAATTTTTTTAAAAAAGGATAAAAAAATTATTGTCATCATTTAAAAATAACTATAAAAAGCATTTAAAATATTTTGTAAATGAATGTGCAAAAGGCAGAGGTATTTTTATTTAACATGTAGATCTGGAATATACATATAATTGATAAGAAAAATATGAGTAACACAGTTATGAAAGCATTAAATGGAATTGAAAGTACAATTGCTTCATATTTTTAGGCTAAATTTATAAAACATCTTAAATAGATAATTCAAAACAGCTTAAATATATAACCTAAAAGTTTTAGCTTTTTTTTTTAGTGTTCTTGTAACAACTTTTAAAAATATATTTATAAGCTCGCATGGCCCAGTGGTTGAGCTTCAACCTATGTACCGGGAGGTCTCAGTTTGATTCCTGGTGAGGGCACATGCCTGCATTATGGGTTCAGTCCCCAATGAGGGGCATGCAGGAGGCAGCCAGTCAATGATTCTCTCATCATTTATGTTTCTATCTCTCCCTCTGCCTTTCTCTCTGAAATCAATAAAAATGTATTTTCAAAAAGTATCTTCATCAATTTTTTAGAAGTATTTTTTCATGGATTTCAGAGGAGACGGGGAGAGGGATAGAACCATAGATTGGCTGCCTCTTGCACGTCCCCTACTGGGGATTGAGCCCGAAACCAGGTATGTGCCCTGGCCAGGAATGAAACCAGCGACCTCCCGGTGCATGGGACGACAACCAAGCAACAGAGCTACACGGGCCAGGCCACTTTTGTATTTGAAACCTACAGAAACGCTGCAAAAATGTAGAAAGCCTTCACTTGAATTCCCCACATGTTACCATTTTGTTTGATTTGCTGTTGTTTTCTCTCCATACGTATTTATAATATTTTGTGAATCATTTGAGAGAAGTTGAAAACATTAACCCCTAATTGCTTCAGTGCATATTTCCTAAGAATAAGGACATTTCTGACATTGCCACAGTACAGTGATCAAAATCTGGAAATTAACATTGATAGAATCCCTTTAAGCCACAGGCTTTGTTTAAATCTCATCAGCATGATGTTCTGAGCACGTGTATGTTCTGGGACCAGGTCCAATCCAGGTCAGGCATTACATTTAGTTTTCACCTTTAGCCTGGAGCTGATCCTTGCTGTTTTCTTCGTGTTTCATGACTGACACTTCAACAGAACCAGGCAGGTATTTTATAGAAAGTCCCTCCATTCAGATTTGTTTGATGTCTCATCATTAGATTTAATTCACTCCTGAGCAGGAATTTGATTTGTTCCACTTACTAATGATACTAATTTTGATGTTTTAGGGTTTGTGTTTTTTAATATTTTTTAAAAATATTTTTGTTGCAGAGTAGATATCTTGCAAGTAGAAGGCCTTTTGGCCTGATTCATCGGAGTTTGACTTTGACATATGGCACTG